TGCATGTTTCATTATCCTCTGTGTCTGTTTAAATGTAATGAGACATCACTTCTGCATGGCTAATTGGAAAAAGCATCTCATTTCCCTAATTTGTGAAACTGCTCTAAGAAGCAGATAACCAGAGGGCAGAAAATGTAATAACCACGGAGGCAAAGTCACTCAGTAGATGATGAACTCAGGAGAAAAGGCCCAGCAGCGATATTTGAATATGGTTCTTGTAATAAACTCACTGCACCCACCATAGTAGCCACAGGGCCACTGGTCCGAATTCATATTTTTTTAATGTAACAAATCTAGTTTGTTCAATACTGAGCAAAAGATTTAAAAAAAAAAAAATCAAAAAAACAGGGAGCCAGAAAGTTATGAATTTTACTTTCAGACAACAACATTGGATAAAAACATTATCAATTTCAGCAAAATCTCCTAAATCCCATGAGGTTCCAGGAGATGCTCCAGGAACCCAGGACATAGCCAGGGCCCAGCCCGGCCCTCAGGAGCGGACAAACAGGAAGAGGGAGTCGTGTCATAAACAAAAAGTCTCACACAATCCCACAGGAAGTGCTGCGAGAGGGTCATCAGGGACTGCGCCTCTGACAAGACCACCTTCCAGTAAGATCTGAAGGCCCAGAGGGAACCAGACACTCACTCGTCACAGGTGAGAGAAATAGGCATCTGGTCAGCTGTTCATCGACAACTAGCTGTGAACAGCGGCTCCGGGACACACGCTGCCTCAGGCCCTGGAGCTGAAGGTCTGCTGTCCTCCTGGGACCCATTCAACCTGGGGGAGGGGCGGTAACCTCCTGACAAAGGCCACGGGCTCCCGCTGAGCCTCTGCTTCCCGGCTGGGAGCGCCTGGGCGATGGCCATCCGGCCCTACGCCATCCACTCTGCTCATTTCAAGACCTTCCTATCAGCAGTTAAACAAGTCCCAAGGCCTCCAAATCTAGCTGAGCTTCCATAAAATAGGGATTTCCAGGGTGAGCTAGCCCCAAGCAAAAGGTCTGAAAAGCAATTCAACAGTGAGCAAAAATGGAACAGACACATCATCAAAGATCTACACATGGCAAATCAGCATCTGTAAAAATGCTCAACATCATGAGTCATCAGGGAACTGCAAATTATAACCCCATAGATACATTACACACCCGCTCAAAACTGGCGAGAATTAAAAAGGCTGGCAATACCGAGTACTGACAAGGATACGGAGCAAGACTCTCACGCCCTGCCGGTGCGAGTGCAGACTGGGACAGCCACTGTGGAAACTAGGTTGTCAGTTTCTCATGAAGCAGATGCACATTCACGTCCCATACAAGCACCCTTCTGCCATGTACTCAGCACAGAGGGGACACAGGGGCCTTCGCTAGCACTCTACAAGGTTTACAGCAAATCTGCGATGACCCCACTTGGGAAGAGCCCGAGTACTCATCGAGTACTGGCCAATGGGTAACCACACTGAGGTATACACCCAGACAACAGAGTCCCACTTAGCAGTGACATGTGACAATGCGAACGAGTGTCTGAGCACCAAGAGAGGCCACTCAGGCAAGGCTGCAATTCGTGTGATTCCATTTGTAGGACAATCTTAAAAAGTAAACCTCGAGAGACTGAAAGTGGATGAGTACTTCACAGGGGCATGGGGTGGGGAAGGGAGGCTGACAGCAAAGGGAACTTTTCAGGGTGATGGAAATGTTCTAGATCACGATTCAGGTGGTTGTCATATTGCTACATACAGGTATCAAACCAATCTAATTGCACACTTCAAAGAGGTGAATTTTATTTTATGTCCGCTAGACCTCAGTGAAGCCACAGGAGGAAGAGGACGGGGGGAGGTGGAGAAGGACCACCAAAGCAGAACCAGACCTCGCCTGCTGAGTGAATCAGGGAACGTGGGGACGGATGGGGGGAAATGCCGAAACCCTTCTTCCTGAGCAGTCAGAAGCCCCAGCCTTCGGGGAGGCACACGGACCAGCTACAATCGGAGTGACATTTTCCCGGTTCCATACACCAAGGACAAGCCATGACTCCGTTCTGGCCGCGGGATGTGAGAAGCACTGCGAGCAACTTCTACAAAACAGGTGGAAAGGGAGGGGCACGACCCTCTGTGCGTGTTGTCCTTCATGCTGCTCAAAGACAAACGTGATGCAGAGAGCTAGACAGAGCGGCCAGCGGGGACCATGAGGGGGAGGCCAAGCACAGAGGAGCAGCCACCCCACGGCCAGGAAGCCTGTGCCTGAGACAGGAACACCCTTCTGTGTGGTCAGGCCACCAACTGACTGTTGCAGAAACCCCTGAGCCAAGCCTCCATAACGTCAGAAACTAGAACCGGGTCTGCCTACCGCCGATCACAAGGCCATACATTTCCTAAAGCCCCTTGCTTATCACCTCACTCCCTGCACACCCAGAGCTGGGCCCAAATGGCCCTCTCCTGCATGTGGCAGCCTGCCTGAGCCCCACGTCCTCCCGGGGAGCCCAGCAGCCCCTTGGGTAGCACTGCCCTGCTGAGCGGGGGCCTAGGCAGGGTCTGCAGCTCCAGGGGACGCACACGAGCCCAGAGCAAGAAACTGTTTAACAGAGAGACCGGCTGCCAGGGAAGAGGCGCCTCAAAACAATGGGACCAAGGTCCCAGGACGTCAGAGACAAGTAGACCAATCAACACCAACTGCGGCTGTGAGCTCAGCTCTGCAAGGAAGGTGTCAAGTGTTGGGAAAAATATAAAAATGAAATAAACCAAAGGTCTATGGCTGACTGCACCTTCCATTAAATAAGTAAAAAAGAGATAACAATATCTTATCTCTTGTTTCCCAGATACAGTAAGTACAACTGCTGAAGAAGACAATCAAAAAGAAGTGTCTCAAAATGAATACTTCTGTGGAAGACTAATTTTCTCCTTTTGTGTTCTATAATCTAGAAGTATTTTTGCTTTCGTCATCCAGGATTTTTTTTTTTAAAGATTTTATTTATTTATTTGAGAGAGAGAATGAGATAGGGCATGAGAGGGGGGAGGGTCAGAGGGAGAAGCAGACTCCCTGCTGAGCAGGGAGCCCAATGCGGGACTCGATCCCGGGACTCCAGGATCACGACCTGAGCCGAAGGCAGTCGCTTAACCAACTGAGCCACCCAGGCGCCCTCGTCATCCAGGATTTTTGTTCAACAAACTTACCAAACATACAAGAGACAGCAAAGTTTAAAAGTGCATTTAGGGGAGCAATCAAGATGCAAAGAAAATACTTCAAACGGTAAAAAAAAAAATCCATTTTAAAGAGATACTGTTTATAATAGCAACAAAAAATATGATAATTAAGAATGAATCTAATAAAACACACACAAGACCTTTTATGGAGCACATTCTAAAACTACACTGAAACGGCCTAGAACATGGAGAATCCACACGTTGGTGACAAGGGAGACTGGGATTCATGAAGATGTCCATCCTCCCAAACTGGTCTCCAGACTCTGTGCAGCTCCCACCACACGACCAGCAGACAGTAAACACCAACGGGGCACAGAGAAGCTGGGGCCATCTGACCGTGAGGCTCAGGTGGGCGTGCGAGGGCCTGAGGCCTCCCAGCGAAGGGGGGGCTGGGGCTCCGCCCGCGGGGCCACTCAGGACACAGCTGGACTCACTCGCCGGTGTGGTGTTGAGGGAAGACACCTTGAATCCTGGGCCAAAACAGAGACCACGGAAACACGTGTACAAGTGTGAGGACGAACACCAGAAGGGAGGCTGCGAACACGGGCAGACGAGGTGGAGGCCACGCACGAGGCCGGGCCTGGCAGGTCCCTTCATGGGCAAGTTCCCTGGAGTCCTACCTCACATCATGCACAGCAGGCACTGACAGATGCACGGAACATCTGAAGAGATGGAGAAGCTCGACCACATGGAAACAAGGAACTTCTGGTCCCCAAAAGCCGCCAAGAAGGACGTGAGAAGCAGCCACGGCATGGAAGAGGACGCGTGTGACCCGCGAAATGACAAAGATTTAGAATCCTTAACATACAAAGACCAGCAGCCGATAAAAAATTAGATCAGCAACCCAAAAGAAAAATGGGCAAAAGACAGAAACAAGCATCTCACAGAGGAGGGAAGACAGGAACCCATAAATCCAGGAAGAGGTGCTCGCTGCCACCTGGAACAAGAGACACGCAGACGAAGGCCACCACAAGAATGCCCGCCAGAGGGATACGAAGTGGGAAGTCCTGGCAGGGATGTGGAGCACGGCACTCACACTCCGCAAGCGAGCTCTCGAGGAGCACAGCCCACCTGGGAGCAGCGGACACCATCCTGCGGGTTCAGGAGGCTCACACCCCAGCACACAACTAGTTCACGTCTACAGCAGTGCCCCAGAGAAACTCCTGCCCATGGGCACCTGCGAGAAAGCGCCTGAAGGTCCCGAGCACAGAACATGAGACCCCACCCAAAAATCCGGCAACGGGAAAAGGGCCGCAGAGAGCGCGCGATATTTAAATGATGGATTGTTACACAACTGGACACAAGATTGGATGAATCTGAGAACATAACACGGAAGAAAACCACAAGCTGCAGATGGACAAGGCTACTGGAGGAAGGATGCGGCCCCCACTGCTTCCTGGAGAGGGACTGACCACAACACCACACGACATGCGCTGAGGTCGTGGGGAATCACAGAGTCAGGAGGTCGGTCATGTCCTGGGGGCCCTTTGAGAGCAGTGTGAGAACTGGGAGCAGCTCCAACACAATGGGTCCAACGTGAGTGGGGTTCCCGGTCCTCAGTGGGGATGGACACGAGGGTACGCTCTATCTGCACACGCCCGTATCCTTTATATGCCTCAATATTACACACAAAATATTTTAAGAACAATCTGCGATTCTTGTCCGGGACTATGTTCACAAGGGCTACCCCCAAACCTGTGGTGGGTAAGCACCCCAACTGCACCAACCATCTCACTAGTTCCGTGGGAACCCGCCACCGTGACGGAGGAAACACCCTCCCCACAGGCATTTCCAGATCCCCGGCTCTTACCTCTGTCACTTTGGGTTGAAGTATTAATGCTTCTGGACTCATTCGAGGGATGTCTATATGGATCTGGAGATGCAGGAGAAAGATGTATTACTTTACAAGATGACAAATGTCATTATAAGCATGTGCTTAAAATAGCAACCCTGAACAACAGCAATGAATTTACTCTGGACTCTAAGCTGCTCCCACTCTGAAAACACGAATTCCTTACGTCACCGAGTTCGGCTCCAGAGGAGTTGGCCAGTTCTACCTGAATGGGGCTCCCTAAGTCCCAGCGTGAAGGCTTGCCTGACACTTCCTGACCAAACAGTTGCTGCTGCGTGATTAGGAAGAGAGCGGCCCTCAGCTCTTCAGCAACATAATCCATAGCAATTAGTAAACATCGATTTCCAGGCTCGGACACGGGGAGCACTTCAGGGGCATCGATAGTGTACAAGTTCTCGGCGGTGACAGCTTCTTCGTGGCACCCAGGCCACATTCTTCACTTCACAGAGTCCGTGGGGATCCAGGGCACTTCTCAAAGGAAGCACTTGAAAACCTCTGCTGGTGTTAGCTGATCCCTACTTGGCCCCCGACTGACCTGAGTCATCACGAAGGCCCCCACTCTGCACAGGAAAACACCTGCCATTCAAGCAGCAACCGAGTAAGAGCGTTCAGGCCTTGAGCCGGCATCACAGGCTGGCTCCCAATATCCCACACGAATATCTCCCACTGGCCAACACGGTCACCATCCCCATCACCCAGGGAAAGGTCTGCTGAAGGAAGACGTGCACATTTTAATGCCAAGAGGGAGTCTACGATTCAGGTCCATCCCCCTGTCTTCGTACGTGACCTCAAGGATCCTACTATCCACAGGACCAGGACAGTGTCCTCACTCTGCCTTATTAGCGCTGCAGCCTTGGCTACAGCACTCAGGCCCTGCGGCTCGGCGTCCTTGTCTAGAAGGTGCCTGCCATACCTCAAAGGGTGACTGGTGAAGAGAGCACAAGGTGGATCGACAGCCTAGGGACCCCCGCCAACCACACCGTTCTGCAGCGTGGGGGCTGCTTCCCCACTGACGGGCTCCTGCCTGGGGCTCTTCCCTCAGGGGAGAACCCGGAAACCAGCAGCCCCTCAGCAGCACCCAGCCAGGGGAGAGAACCGGGAGGGAGTTGGGGGCCAGTGGACTCAGCATTCGGGGAGCACAGTCCATGGGCAGCAATGAAGGACAATGGGAAGGCAAATGAGAGGTAAGGAGCCAGACAAGAGCAACACAGGAAACGATGAGCCCCAAGCCCTCTGAGCAACCCGGGGAAGATTGAGGAAGCGGAGACATGCGTGCGACCCGATGTGCGAAGGAGGCCTGCGGGCAGCGGGGCTGGGAGGGAGGGGTGAACCATCCAGCCTAGGGGGCCCGAGGATTCCAGCCCGACGCACCCCCTGCACCAGGGCATCCTCGAGGGCCACCCTGAGAACACTGCCCTCATGCCATCGTACTCAGGCACACATCTGCCCCCCGTTACACAAGAGCTGCCCATCATGTGCTTTCTGAGTGGCCAGGACAGCAGGCACCGTAACTCCGCCCACCGTGGTCTGTGCCAACAGGAGGAGGAGGTCCAACCTGAGAGGGGGCGCTGCACAAGGCTGGGCACAAGGGGCTCTGTGGACCCCTCCAGGCCACCTGCTCCCCACGTACAGGGCTGAGATGTAGGGGAGGCCCAGACGGCTGCAGAACTCCTCCCTCCTAGGGAGGACACACCGGATGAATCAAGAATCTGACCGACTCGGTGTGCTCTGGGCATGACGTCTTCCACCAGACACTAAGCACACGGACAGAGGACACAGAGGGGTGTAAAAGCAGGCCGCGGCCCCGCGCTCCTGCCACCTCCTGGCAGTGCGGGAGGGCGGGGCACCCACCAGGAGCAGGCAGCAGGGAGACAGCAGGTGCCCGAGCCCCAGACCAGCCCAGGCTCTGCCTGGACAGAACAGCGTGTCGGAGACAGGAGCCGCAAAGACAGGACGGGGTCCACCTCCAGCAGGCGGGTCTGCAAAGCCAGCAAGCCAACCAAACTGCCACAGGCTGCGTTGTTCTCATCTATATTAATGTAGACACATTCTGGGAGTTTGCAATAATATGGAAGCTTTTTATTACCCATCATAGTAACTGAATAAAGATGCATGTAACCCATTTTTTATTAAATTTCCCTTATGAAATTCATAATAGAACACAGCTTGGTAACTCTTATAGATAGATGCTGGTATCATCCTTTGGAAGTCTTTCTCTTGAATGAAAATCATGAGGAACATATTCAAAACAATGCCAAATTGGCCCATTCCCTAAAATTAGTGAAGTGTAAAGAAAAACCTGGTAACCTAATATTTCCCTAACCAAATCTAAATGCAACCTCTCTCAAATCAGTTTCTCGTGCCCTCGGAGCCACTCAGGCGAGGCTGAGTATGAGCCAGAGGCAGAGGGCCCCGAGGCAGAGGGGCCCCGCCCCAGGAGGCAACAGAAGTGAGTTCCTGCCCTCTTCTGGGTCCTCACTCTCAAGCATGACAATCCTCCACGCTCCACTGTACCCCATCCATGAGGAAGATATTCCCCCAGAATCCATTAACCTTGAAGAACCTCCGGTTATCAGTCAGAGGGAAGACCTGTCTTTGGAGCTTTCTAACAGATCTATACCGAAATGACAGAGAGATGTGGACAGCCCACATTTGAGGCAGAAAAATTCGGCAAGGCTCCTTCACCTCGAAGAAGGATTTCCAAAAGGAAATATTCAGTACTGACAAGTCTCAGGAAAATCAGAAGTTGATTTCAGAAACAGGAGGCAGGGCTACCAGTTAAGAACGACCTTTTTATTTAAATGCAGCACAAAAATAAGAGAATGAATGAATGCAGCACAAACCATTCTGAATTCTCACATATTACAAAGACAGTGAGAACTACAAAGCCCTCAAAAAGCTATTCTAATAGCAAATTCTGAATGTATTGTGAACTGTAAATCAATTTTAAGTACTTTTCCCATTATAGACACCGTCTGTCAATGGACTGTTCAAGAAGCCGTAATGATACCCATTTTGAATTAAAGTGAACAGCAAAAACGATCAAGTGGCCACACGTGTTGCTATGGACTGAGCTGTGTGCCCCCAAATCCAGCTGACGAGCACAGCTCTTGTCCATCCAAATCCCGTCCCCCAGTGCCCCAGGGGGCCCTGCGCCCACGAAGCCCACAGAGACTCTCCTCTGATCGACCCAGCAGCAAATGCCTGCTCCCGAGCTTTCAGGTCAGACAGCAGCTCACTGAGCCAAAAGGTGTCCCCCGCTCCTGAGCCAGGTCTCCTGGTCCTGGCAAGGGATCTTAGGCTTCCGTTTTGTAACTCCAATTAAAAAAACCCTTTTCACTTTCATAGAAGGAGCCGGAGATAAGCATACTATCATTATGGCTACAACAATACTATTATTAGAAGCATACTGTTATTTATTCTCAAGTTTATTTATTAGAAAACACTACTCTGTCACGCAGTTTGGGACATGCTAGAGAGAACACTCCCTCCTACCAATCATCACCAAGTTAAAGTTCTTCACATAACATGAAACGGGAGAGGAGCTCACCTGCCTGTAGGTGTCCTGGTGAACATCATCATTCCGAGAGTTGTAATAGTGCTCAATAAAAGCAAAATATTCTTTCTGTTTTCTCTGGAGAGTGGCTGGTCTTCGGTCCACATTGGCAGGAAGGTAACCCTGTGTGAGAAAAAGAACAAAAACAAAAAGTGTATGTGGTTAATGCTAGATTCACCATTCTGAAATGGGATTCTGAAACTGGATGCGGGGGAGCATAACGAGTTGTGAAAACAGAAACAGACATCAAGGAAATCAACTGGCTGGCCTCTGAGGCTCAGACACACCACAAGGGACTCACGGCCACAGGGTGGGAGTAAGACCGGAGCCTCTGGCAGGCTGGTCCTTTGCGCTCTTCCAGAGCAGGACTGAGAGGAGCCCCCAGCTCTCTAAATGCCTCGTGTGCCTCAGAGGATTCAGAAGTCTGCAGGTCTGACAACAATAGAACGTACGTGTGCGTGTGCATGCTCACATGTACACACAACAGAGGCCTGTACGCGTACGTGTGCACGTAATACGCATACACGCACACATGTACAGACTGTCGCCTAGGCAAATGTCCCCCTCTCTGCAGAGACCGCTGGGCGCCTGGCAGTGCAGCCCCAGTGCATAAAGTGAACTCAAACCCAGAAGGGCTGGGCAGCTCCGGGTGGTCATGAAGAGCCCAGACTCAGGGCCACACTGCTTGGTGTTTTACATGCTTTTTATTTCTTTGTTTCTCCTTTCAAATCAACACTGACATATCCCATATAAAATGTGCCCCTTCTAAGTCAACAGTTCCGTGACCCTGGATGGGGGTACACAGCTGTGTAACCGCTACCCCAGTGAAGTGGCAGAGCATTTCTATCACCCCAAAACCCTCCCTGTGCCCACAGCAGTCCCTCCCCACACTCGCAACCGGAGAGCCTGGAGAGGCGCTCACCCCCTCACCAGGGAGCACTGAGGCCTGGCCTAGAACTTCACGGAACCATTTGGGGACCCACACTTGGTTTTCACTCAGCCTCACGGTCTTTGTGATTCATCTGAATTGAAGTGTGAGCCAGCAGTTACTTCCTTGGCTTAGGGAGCAGTATTCCATGGTACGGATGGGGCACTTTGCCGGGCCATGCCCTGGCTGCTGACCATCGGGGCTGGTGCTAGTTTGGGGCTATTATGAATAAAGCTTGTTATAAATATTCTTGTACGAGGGTTTTATGGCTATGCACTTTGATTTCTCATGGTTCCACACCTAGGGATGGACTTGCTGGCTCACTGTGCAGGTGCATGTTTCGCTTCCTAAGAAACTGCCAGACCTTCCCCAGAGTGATCGTACGGTTTCACATTCCAACTAGCAGCGTATGAGAATCTCAAATGCTCCACACCTTCCCTGACACTTAGTATTGTCCTTCAGATATTAGCCATCCTGGGGGTACTTGGCTGGGTCAGTCTGGGGAGCATGCATCTCTTGATCTCGGGGTTGTCGGTTCAAGCCCCATGTTGGGTGTAGAGATTACTTTAAAAAATAAAATAAAATCTTTATAGACAAATACCATATGATTTCAGTTATATGTGGAATATGTTTCCAACAGGAAACAAAACAGATGAACACATGGGAAGGGGGAAAAAAGAGGGAAGCAAACCATAAGAGACACTTAACAGGGGCACCTGGGTGGCTCAGTCAGTGAAGCATCTGCCTTCAGCTCAGGTCATGATCCCGGAGTCCTGGGATCGAGCCCCGCATCGGGCTCCCTGCCCAGCGGGAAGCCTGCTTCTCTCTCTCCCACTCCCCCTGCTTGTGTTCCTGCTCTCACTCTCTCTCTGTCAAATAAATAAATAAAATCTTTAAAACATAAAAATAAATAAATAAATAAATAAGATCTCTTTAAAAAAAATCTTCAAAAAACAATCAGCCATTCTACTGAGTGGCTCTAAATGAATGAGGAACATCTCACGCACCCATCTGCCACTGCTTCTCTTCTTTGGTGAAGTGTCTGTTCAAATCTTTTGCCCATTTTTTAAATCCAGTTGTTTGTCCTTCTAGTGAGTTTTATGGTTCTCTATTCTAGACAGAATTTTTGTATCTAGATACATAATATACATATTACGATTATATTCTCCTACTAATCTGTGGCCTTTTTGTCTCAAATAGCAGGAGTTTTCAATTTCCATGATATCCAACTTGTAAAGTTTTTCTTTTATTTTTAGTGCTTCTTCTGTTCTATATAAAAAAGAGTCTTTCCTTGTTTCTTCCCTAGATGTTTTAAAGCTTGACCTGGCTACCTCCTGCTCATCCCTCAAGCGTCTCTTTGATGATAACTCTTCTTCAGGAGGCTCAGCCTGACACCAGAAGCAGGCTGGCCACGCCAAGCTCCAGCAGTACCTGGCAAGAGACTCCGTCAGAACCAGCCCCTCAGTGTGCTAGCCACGTGGCAGTCAAATTTTTATTAAGTGAATTTATGTATGAGCAAGAAAGTGAATGGCTGAACAAATATATCCTATATGTTACCTTCTGCCTTTTAAAATTCCCCCACATCCGGGGCGCCTGGGTGGCTCAGTTGGTTGAGCACCTGACTCTTGATTTCGGCTCAGGTCATGATCTCAAGGTCCTGGCATCGAGTCCCTCGTCGGGCTCTGCACTCAGCAGGGAGCCTGCTTGAGATTCTCTCTCTCTCCCTCTGCCCCTCCTGCTTGTGTACACATGCTCGTGCTCTCTCTCTCTAATAAGTAAATAAGTCTTTTAATAATAATACCAATAAAAGAGGATGTGCAGAGACTGGAGCTGTGGCAGCCACCCTGCGACCACGCGGGAGAACCACGGGCTGCAGGTGCACCGTGAAGAGCCGAGGGGAAGGAGCACTGAGCTCGGAGGGTCGCCAGCCTTGACGATGAGGTGGGCCTGAATCCAGCCACAGCTTTTCTGTTGTGTGAGTGCCTCTGTTCCCTTTCTTTTCGGAAGGTGTTTCCATGAGCATCTATTCTGTTATCAATTACACTCTCGCACACATTTGCTTTAACTCATTTGGGTCATACGAGTTAAGCTTCTTCTTAATAAACACGTATTGAAACAGAATGTGTGTGTGCATACACTCACCCAAAATGTGTGCGGAATTACCACGAACTGACCGCATCTCCCTCGGGAGCCTCCCAATCACTGTCCTTCACCTCCTTCCTAGAGCTAGATCCCTAACTGCTAACACTGGGGTAAATTGTGCCTATTTCTGAACTTTACGTAAATGGAATCATTTTTTCTGTCTGGCTGCTTAAACATTACATTTGAAAAAGTCGTTCATTCTTGTAACATGTTAAGAGTCACTGATTTTCATCGTCGCGTGTTCCCACGTACAAAATCCATCCTGTGGACAGACATTTGGGTTGCCACCACCCTCTGTTATAAACACTCCTGTTCCTGTCCTTTGTGGCACGTGGTATGCATCTCGTCAGGTATGTACCGAGGAGGGGGACCCCTGGCTGCACCTCCCTTTCACAGACCCCCTGCAGAATTTTCCAGAGTGAAAGCAGTCACAAGCACCCACTGTTCCACATCCTGGCTAACACTTGGTGCTGTCCATCTTCACCTCAGCCATCCCAGTGGGCCTGCGAGGTCTCTGTTAGACGGTGGCTTTAATCTGCATTTCCCAGAAGACTGACAGGTGCCGCTGCATGTCCTCAGCTGCTCAATGCGTGTACAAGCGTGGCCCCATTTCCGTGAGGTCACCCCCGCCTTGCCCGTGCTCAACTGTACGTGTCTATTCTATCGTCTGCATGTGAGTCCTCTGTGAGCGTCTCCTCCTCCCCCCTTGCCTTGCCTTTTCTCCCCATTAATGATGTCTTTTGATGAAGACAAGTTCCTAACTTTAATAGAGCCCCTTTTATTAATCTTTTATGATTAGTCTTTCTCATTCCTTTGTAAGAAAATTTCATTTATCCAACATCCCGTGCCTACACATTTCACTTCAAAGCCACGCCCAGCTCCCCACCGTGGTGAAGCAGTGTTGTGTGGGGCCAGCACCCCCACGATCCGGCCTCTGCAGCCAGCACCATCCAGAGTACGCTGGGGCATCGCCCCACACAGCCCTGCCCCTGCTGGGGGGCCGACCACTCCCGGGGCTGTGAGCCCTGACGCGGCTTCATCACGTCGGAGACGCCTTCACAGACCACCGGTTCGGGAACCACCAGGATCCACCACAACCATCTGACCTCACTGCCAACTTCCAGTCCCCGTCATCTCCTGGAAAAAGACAAGTACTGGTCCTGAGGTTGCCACAGCCGCAGGCTGAGCAAGCAGGCTGCTCGCGGGCACTTGGCTACACACGGCACCGCCTTGAATCCTCGGTGGACATGCGGTTGTTCTTGCATTTGCAGAAGAGGAAAAGCCTCGGGGTTTCCTTTCGAGCCCAGGGTTATGGGGCCGGGGGGCACACTGCAGCCGGCCCTCTTCAGGGGCACCTGGCTCAAGTCACAGAAACTCAGGGAACAAGTCCCCGCCCTATGGAGTCATCTACACACACACACCCTGTTCACTGAGCTCTGCATGTGTCCCGGGCTCCCAGGCCCTCGCACCCTCGCACCTTGGGCTCAGCACCCTGCGCGCAGCCTCACACTGAGCTCCGGAAGCTGCCAAGGCTTGTAATCATGCCCCTGCCCAGAGGCGGACGCCCTCCCCACTCTGCCGCCAGCCCCTCTGGCTCCCCGGTTCAGGACCTCTCTCTGAACGCCCGTTCCTGGGCCGGGACTCCCGCCTGCACACAGGGCTCAGCAGGCGGGTGGGCACCAGCAGGCGGAGCGGGGCAGCTGACACGGAGCCGCCTGAGCCCCCAGGCCACGGAGGCCGAGCGGCCCGAGACCTCGGCAGCAGGGCTGGCCTCTGATCTCCTCCAGCCTGCGCACGAGGGCCGCGGCGGCCTTCCCACAAGCACACTGTCTTCTGAGCGCCTCTCCCGCCCCCGCGGCATCGGAGCAGACAAACTACTTGTTGCCATGGCTTGTGTGCATCATCCCTGGAGCTCAGCTCCCGGCACTGCAACCCGCGGGGACAGGCCCTGCAATCAATTCACGTCTCTTCCAAGCATGCACCAGCCTGGAGCGCACACTCCCCAAGACACCTGCACTCCCTCCTCCGAGTCATCACTCTGACCTCAGCATCT